CAGTCCGCGCGACCTCTGCATGCGGTTACGCACAGATCGACTGTGGTGGTTGGTGAAGTGGCACTCAAATAACAATCATTGCTACACGTGGCTTCTCTCTTAACGTCGCTGCAGTGCGCTCAGATCGAAAGTGGTGGTTGAAGCAAAGCTCAAATTGTCTTCTCTTGCAACATCTTTGTAGTAGCTCTGTTGGATTTTTTATGTTGTTGAAGTGGTAGTGATGGTTTCCATATTTTGGTAGCGTAGGGATTTTGGCGTGGTTGGATGGTGATGGCGGTGAGGTGTTGGTTTTGGTTGGGGTTTTTTTATCTTTTTGGTTCTTGGATTTGGCAGTACAATGGTACAGTAAATCTAGGTAGAATATAGGTGGTAGTGGTGACGGTGTATTTTGTTTGTAGTGGTATGTGCGTTGGTGTTGCTGGTGCGGTATGGTGATGGTAGTGTTGCAAAATGGTGGTGTCGGGGGCTGACAGCGATGTTGGCGATGGCGATGATAGTGGTGGTGCCCTTCTATTGGAGCGGGTTGGCATTTGTGACCTATTAAATAGCTAATATGTGAGCGGTTGGTGTTGGAGGTGGTTGTTAGTGGTTGGAGATTCGATCGTTGTTGTGGTGATATTTTTGCTGACGGTGAATTTGATCTAGCGACGGTGGCGATGACTGTGTGAGGGTGGTCGATAGTGTGTGACCTACTATTTGGTGTATGTAACCAAGTATTTGGTTATCTATGACCAAATATTTATTGTAACTTAAAATTTTGATAATATGTGACTAAAAAATAATTTGTGACCAACAAATTTGAAAATATGTGATCGATAAATAAACTGTGATCTATAATTTTTTTGATATGTGACCTCGAAATAATCTATGACCTACAAACTTTTTTATTTGTGACATCAAAATAATTTAACCAATTAATTTGACAATATGTGACCAGTAAATAAGTTGTAACCAATAATTATGTATATGTGACTATTAATGTTATAATTGTGACCTTATTATATTTAGCCATGTTTGAGCCACATTATTTAAAAAAACAAAAAAAATTTAAACAGTTATTTGACGTCATTTCTACTATACATTCTTTAATAAAATAATATTACACACAAATTCAAAATTTTTCTTTATTTTTTAACCACACATTTCTTATCAATACACTATTAAAAAATACATTCTAAGAAAAATAATATGGCTCAAACAAGGGCTTAGTTAATTAGCTAATACCTGAGTTTTGCATTTTGAAACTCGATACCTAAAATTAGAATTGTGTATAATTGACACCTGACTTGTGAATTTTTCCCTAATCTGGTTTGGATTAACCTATTTGAATTATTCTATTCAAACAGGATCACCTCAGTCCTGTTTTGCCTTGTTCGAGTGGCATGGCCCAACCCATTTACTCCTCTTCTAGAACTCTTTGTGAAGTACTCTGCTCTAATGTGAGTTGTTCTTTGAGCTCGACCGGTGTGGTATTAATACTACTACTAAAGTATTATTCATATTTTTATCGTCAAATGTACTATGATTCTTGCTGTAGATGTGCAGACTAATCCAATAAGGGTGACAATATCTGTTTGATGAGACTAAAATTAGATTTTTAGTATATTTTAATATAAAATGATGAAATATATGATTAAAATTAATTATTGATTTTAATTCTAATTTTTGCCAAACAACGGCATAGTAAGAAAGAGGAAAACAGCTGCAAACAATGACTGTCTACATTGGAATTTTGACTTGTCTTGCAAGTTGAAATTTTTACATTTGAGTAGTTGCAATCAGCTTGACCAAAGCTAGTGATTGGCCCAGTACAACCAACCACCACCAATTTGAAATTGTTTAAACTTGGAAAATGATTTTGAAATTGTAAATTGTAAAGGTAAGTTTGGCGCACAAATGAAACCCCCGTTTGGCCTCATTATTTGGATTTATAATGGGAGAATAGTATTTTTTTGAAGATTGTGTAGTTGAAAAGTTTTCGATTTGAGTGTAATATTATTTTATTGAAGATTGTGTGGTTGAAAATAGAAGAGAGAAAAAATTAAATTAAATTGAAGAGTTTCAGAGACGGGCAAACGGGGGTTAAATTTCATTCCATTTCATTTCATTTTTCTCTCCGCTATTTTCAACCACACAATCTTTCATAAAATAATATTATACGTAAATCGAAAATTTTTCTTCCTTTTCAACTACTCATTTTTCAAAAAAACACTATTCCACCTATATTCATTTCCAAAAAGGGGGGCTAAGCCGCTATTTGTTCGAGCCACAGAAATAGATTAAAATTTAAATTACAGTTAATAATTAATTTTAATCATATATTTTATAACATTTTCAATATCTTAATCACATATTTCTTCAATTTTTATTAAAATACTAAAAATTTGATTTTTATTAGCTCATGTTTAGTTTGAATAAAAATAAGATTTTTACTTATAGATTTTGATAATTGTTGATGAAATGCGTGATTAAAAATTGATAGAAACTATTAAATCTATAAAATGTGTGGTTGAAAATGTATTTAAAGACAAAAATGACTTTAAGAAAAAAATAGGGTCAAACATGGGGTTAGTCATCTTGATGGGAATAAAGTTTGATTATTTTATAATATTTTTCCACTTAAACCTTACATAAAGAGGATTTCTTAATCTAATTCTCATAACTTTGATAATAAAACAAATATATTTTCTCTTTTAAATTCTTCTTCGATCTGTTTAGCCTCCGTTTGGCCCCCATTAATAATTTTTGGAATAGCATTTTTGTTTCTTTTGAAAATGAGTGATTGAAAAAAAAAATGTATTAAAATTTTAACGGAGCCAAACGGGAGATTAATTTTCTCTCCTTTCTATCCCCTCCTTTTCTTCTCTCATTTACCTTACCCTTTCTCTTTCTCTTTCTCTTTTAATTGTGTCAATTTGATAACAGAGTTCAAATCGTTTCTTCTGATCGATAGATTTTATAAAATTCGATCCCCCTCAACCAACTGTTTCCACCTCTCCCACCACCAACAAACCCTCACTTCAAAACCATAAACATACCTATTAATCCAAAATACACAATACATCTTCACCATTAACCCACACTGAAATAAAGGCAGCAGTTTAAAGGTGAAATTCAATGGCATCTGTACTTCATAGTTTATTATTAGGCTAAATAAAATAAAAAAGTGGTGAATGCCAAAATTATTCACCGCGAGTAGCCGTCGCCACCCTCGTTTGGATCTACTCTTCCAACACCCCCAAACCAGGAAACTGCTAAGAGATTTCATCCGCCAAATTTTGACATTCATTATGTCATTTTAATTCACCTGGATCCATCTCCAGTAATTCAGGAATTGAGAGATTGTTTTGCCCTATATTCACGTCAGCGGACTTCTCTAGATTTTGAGGGACTTTGATGAATTGGAACTGTGCTATATTACCTGCACCACTTGCAGCTCGTTTAAATGTTGTGATTTATACGCCCCCCCAGGGC